GGTCGATGAAGTACGAAACGGACCAAGATTCGCGATATTGCTTACAGGTATCAGATTAGTTTTACCGTCAGTGTTCGCCTGACTCTCACTTTGTTCGTTTCTAATCTTTGCATTCGTGAGTAAGGTTTATGCCTCGTTAGTATTACACCATTTAAATCTTTATTACATTGCAGTTTATCTTTCAACCTTCTGTACTGTATATTCGTATTAAAAAGAAAATAAAAAATCGGTGTTGGAGACATTTGCGACTTTTATCCTCGTAGGCATGAATATTAAAAGAAATGAAGCATTAAAGTTACGCTGTTCATAAATTATGTATGAATGAAGTTAAATGAACTTTCTCCTATAATCGTCTTTGTTCAAACTTTATATCCTTTTTCCATTGAGTGGATGACAAGAATATAAATATACTCAATGAATGATAACACATCACTCGCTAATAATAAAAGATGCAGTACAGAAGAGATATTTTCGGACAGCCGCCTTTTATTATAATACTTGAATTAGGGGTATCATGGATGTTACACTGTAAAGACAAGTAATACACCTTTTTATGGAATAAAGAAAAAATATAACAATAAATATCACATTTTTTATAGCACGCTCCATAGCAGATGCAAAGAAACTTTTTCTCGCTTGTTCGGTATTCCATAAATTTGTAATTATTCCATTAAAAAATTTTCCACTGGGTTTCCAGAAATATTAAACTCACTACAGGGCACCAAAAAACAATTATCAATAGTTTGTCATTATTTCTTAACGATAAGCCCGTGGAGCGACAAATCTCTCCCTCATTCGGACACGACCTAATATACAGTGTCTCCTCAAAATCATGGTACAACTGACCAGATAGTAATTCCACAAGAAAAAATAAATCGACAAAGAAGAACAAAATTTTTTCATTTAAAGTATCGTTTTCGAGAAAATCGAGTTTAAGAATAATCCTGAAACGCGTGTATGGTAGTAAGTAGAAACGGACTGCAATGAACAGACACTCTAGTGAAATCAATCTGCTCCGGCAGATCTTCCAATTCGATTATCTCGAAAACTAAGCCATAAATGAAAAAATATTACTTTTTCTCTTCGATTTATGTTTCCATATAGAATTACCACCCGATCAATTATACCACGATTCTGGGGACACCCTGTATCCCTTATATCTTTTTTTTAATAAAAACTGTGTACAGTATATCGTATTATTTCCACTCATTATATCTTTCGATTCCATTGCAATACACTGCTTATTTCTTTCCGTTTCGTTCGATTTAACGCAGAAAGGTGAATCATCCGAACATTCACCGACATCGTTGAAAAATCACCGTGCGCAATATTCCGCGCTCGTGGCGGAATTCGCGGAACGCTTAATACACGCAACACGGGAGTTATTAATGCCCGGTCGCGAGGTGTTAATTGCGCGGCGAAGATAACAAAGGGCGGCCCGGATAAAAAATAACTGCCGTGAACGGGAAGTTAACGGGCGCGTAATTAATATCCGCGGCGAGACGCTGAAACGGAACATTGTCCGGAGGCTTATGAATAATAAGCCGGCCGGCCGGCGTTTTCAAAAGTTTGCTCACCGGCGAAATTAAGTGGCGGAAAATAATCGTGAAGTTCCGTGTGTTTCGACGCGACTCGGCCCAGTTTCCACCCCTACGAACAGTTGCTCCTCGAATTAATTACGGTTCCGCGATGCAGTGGTTTGCTGCTGCGACTAGCCGTTGTTGCCCCTTCATTGGTTACCCTTAGCGAACCCCAAATTGCCTGTGACATAAGTTTTTCTATTAAATCCTTTTAAAGTAGAGGATCCCTGTTGACGGAATGTGTTCGATTTAACCCTTTTGAGCCGAATTTCGTTTTAATGGTGAAGTTAATACTGTAATAGTGTTGGACGATCAACCTACTGACTGACTGAAGACTTTGAGAAACAGGACCAAGCTGACAGAAATAAATGAATGGGTAATGCGACTTACTTCACGTAGTGACTAAGGGCTCTAAGGTCCCTTAGTCAGAAAAGAATAAATCAGTTTCCCATCAAGTATGATGTACAAATCTATGGTAGGGGTTATAGTACTTAGCAATAGGAATAAGAAATGTCTAATCGAATAATCGAAATATGTACACATATTGATCCTCCGTCTGTTTGCCTTATCTATAAGATCCTTGTAATACCAATATCCACATTACCCATATGTACCCTCACGAGCAACCTCTGCTTCCGCTCGCTCTGTTTTATTGTAATTTTTCCATACACACGATTAAAGTACCATCAAATCCACAGCATCCTGTCCCTACACATTTTCCCATTATTCTAACCCTAATCCTTTGGAAATATATTTTCGTCCTCTCATACACTCCCCATTTTTTTTAAATTCTTCTGGTCCCTTTCCTTCTTTCAATTTCCTACTACTAAAATGTATTTCTTAAGTTCCTTAGATTTTAAATCAGTACGCAATATATTCGGATTAAATTAATACAACAACAACGTTGAACCTCGCTAATTCATCGTTCTTGTCCAAAATGCCTAATGAAACTCAACATTTTCCTTCGCAATTAATTCACATCAAGCCCCAGGCTCCACGATAGCTTCGTACATTCAATTAATCTCACCGGCAAGTATTCCACCATTTTCTGCGCCACAATCGACGCGGATTGCCCGGATTCCGGCGGGGAACGATCACTGTCAACGCGATTCGTTCGAGCAATTTGCCGCATAATCGCTGTCCCGGGCAATTATTCGACCAGAGACGGCTGCTCGTCACATTTCGTTCCGTGTGGTCTTTCGAGCATTAATTACCCCGATGACTTTCATTCGCTATACCGTTATACCCGGTGTTCCGAGGGTTGTTTATTTCCATGGACCATTCGTTCTTACGCAGCGACCAGGGAAACCGTCTTGCTAGGCCCACCGGAAGTTCACGTAAACTCTGTCGTTGACTGACGCGAAGCGAGCATTAAACGAGCCCGAAATTATTTCTGAGACAGTTCCTCCGGTTTCTCGGCGAGACTGGAGCTGCTAGGAGCTTACGAAGTTTCACTGCGAATATTGGCGACACGATAAGGCCGGAGTCCCTCGAGCTGCGCTAATTATTCGAGGCTGAAGACCTTGGTACCGCTTTTCGTCTTCGTTGGTCGCGATAAGGGTGCGTCAAGCAAATCCTTTAGGAGAGAATCGAGGGAAAAACGTGAATTACAACAAACAATAGCGTCGACCTGAATATTCGGCTAAATTCTTTAACGTGTATTTAGATTGGCTAATTTTTTAACCTTCCATAGGCTAACATAGTTATTCACAATCCGTATGCGAACTGGGTCTTTTAAGTCAAAGCCTATTTTCATTACTGTTTTAGACTTTCAAGATTCTGATAGAATTCTGGGATACTTATCAAAGTCTCTATTACGTTATATAGTCGTTCGTTAAGCCAAAGGTTTAAAACCGTTTTTAGTAAAAATTCAGGAAGTAAACAGTATACATTTTCCCCCGTTTCACCGCCGTCTATACTTCAGACCATGAAACGATATTTTGCTGAATGAGAGTACAGTTTATAGTTAAAAAAAAGTATTGCAAAGATTCATTTGCATTGCATAAAAGACAACATTTCCAACAACTTCTCGAAACCGAGCATAAAGGAGTGCAGCAATTCAGAGGGATTACTTTAACGAGCAATCGAAAACGCGTTTGACCTTAAATGCGACTTTGTTAAATTCTAAAAATTCAACGCCGTGCAATAACAAAGTACGCGGTACAATCTCAAAGGAATGTGCAATTGCTTAAATTTTAAATTCGAATGGCAACAAGAGGAAATAGAAGCATTGAGATCAGGCAAAATCCTATTTCCATTTCATTTCATAGAGTTCGCAGATTTTCGTGATGGAATAATTCAATAAATGCTTAATTGATTTTGATGAATGACCACGATAAATTAAGTTAACGTGGTTGGTATTTGTTTTATCGGAACGTTAATTATTAGTGCCGGGATATCGTCGATATGATGCTGAGGGGGGCGTGGCGTACATCTCGAAAATTTGATTGCGCGGAAAAAAAAATTGAACTGCACACGCCCAACTCTTTAAACGGATTGAAAGCTATCCGTTGTTGAAAATATTACCGAGAGGCCTGTTGAAAATACTCGAGCCTGGTTCCGGTGGGATAATGGGAACTCGAATTAAGTATGCTCGTCCGATCGGCGAGTTTTATACGGCGATGATCAACGATAAAAAACAAACTCGATCGACTGGTATTTATTGCTAGTGGATCGCCCAACAATCACGATGAATACTTTTTTACCGGACAGAAATGAAACTTCAATGGCACTCGAGTTGATCTAGATCGTTTCAGGGGCTTTTGATGTTTCCTCCCCTCCCTGGCCACTGCTAGTTGTTTACTCTAGGCCATCGACCGGCGAGACTATTCGACGAGACTTTTTTTTTGCTTTCGTTACCATTTCGTCATGCCACAACTTTGAGAGATACACGGCATTCTATACTTCCTCGTTTAAAATTGCAGCCGAATCGATAATCGCGACCTAGCGGATAATCCGAATTTCAAACTTGCTCACTCAGCTGCCCAAATGTCAAACCTGTCAATTGCACTTTGTCCAAATTTCACAAGGTTAATACCTTTTCTTGTAACACAGAACGGAAGGTATGCTCAGGAGAACAGAATTTAACCAGACCAGCCAATTAGGTGTCTGCCGACATCCCCGGAAGGAACGCCAAATATGAAGCTTCGAATGGGTTTACGCCGAGAAGGGTGCAGAATAACGGACGATACATGCTTGTAGAGGGTGAAGTAGGAAGGGGGCGGCAAGAACCGAATGTTTAAGCTCACGTTCGTGAAAAATATGCATTAATGAAAAACCTCGAACGGTAAACATCCGACGGGGAATATTGGATGTTTTCATGATGCTCGACGTGAAACGTCGATATCTCGTCGACTTTGTTTACCTCGAAACGTGCTGACGCGTCTACGGTTTCGATTTTCCTTTTCTTTTTGTCCACAGGACCCGAGGGGAAGCCCGTAATTACCACCGCTTATAATACCTCGGCCACGTCGATTTATCTGGCCTGGAATGCTCCCAGCCGCGACACTATCAACGGCGAGTTCCTCGGCTATCGGATAGGGTACAGGCCACGGGACAAAGTGCATATGGAAGTAAAAGACATATACTTACGTAACCCGACCGTTGACGTAAGTTACGTAAGAATGCGTTTCAATCATTCCTTTATCTGTGTTGTACATCGGTGTTGTTCTTCCACTTCGAGTTTTTTAACGTTGGCGTGTCGTTACCTTTCCGTTGCAGAACCACAGTATACACAACCTGGAGACGTACACGCAATACCTGGTGTCGCTGCGAGTGTTCAATCCGGTGGGGCATGGGCCTGAGACCACCATTTCTGTGATGACCGACGAAGGAGGTAAGTGCTAGAAGCCAACAGAAAGTGTTGGTCCGTGAGTCGATCGATGTACTGTTGGCAAGGTTTATATTTTGGCGCGCTTTTGGACTTCCCCGTTCTATCGATAAAACAGAGAATCCCGTCAGATATCTTTGTACCTTCGGTCGGCGAAGGAATTTCGTGGGTATCTATTTTATCAGAGACCGCTAAAGAAGGTTCCTATACGGTCGTATACTTACCATCGATCGGTCAAGAAACAGAACACGATAAATAAACAATCGAATTTGATAAAGTTATGTAAAAAATGTTAAATGTTGAAATATCTTTAAAATAGTATGTATATAATAACGATAGTTTGAAAACTATCGATAAACGATAAAATATAATGCACGAGAGTGGGAAGATCGTTAAACTTGATTGGTCTTTCGCTAGATGTCACTCTGTTTTTTGTTTACAACTGAACGATAAGGATTAATCAACTTTTCCTAACACGTGGTTTTATGGAGCTCGTATCAAGATCACGATTTTTTCGTTATCTTTACCACGCAAAAAGATAATTTTGCATGGGTCGACGAGAAGGTGTTCCGTGGCGAAATATTTTACGAGCCTCTTGAAACGCCTTCGCTAAGGTCTGAATTAATTTAATTATACGACCAGACGGTTGTGTGCGTTTCTCTTAATCGTCTCTATCAGTCGGAACACACAGATTACGCGAACAAATAGAGACCGTAACGTAACGTCCGTGAAACGACCGTACAATCTTTCCATAACTGGCGCAGTCAATGATATCATTTGAATTCGCTGGACGTCAGTGACGGTGCTCCATTCCCGCAGCACAATAAAGGCGAACGCTACACTTCGGAAATTTTATGCAAACCTCCGCTATTCTGGTCACGGTCCATTTTCGCTTTTTTCTGATGATTCGCATGTCCCTGATTCTTTTAAGGACTTCAACTTTGGCCATTTACTCGTTTGCTTCAAATATTTCAGCCACTGTATGGCATTGCTCCACATTCAGACCAGAGAGATACATTGTGCGATAAAAAATTAGTGGCACCTTTGGTTTCATAGGTAAACGTAACATTTCCCGTATATTCGAACAGAAAAGTCCATATTACAAGGAAACTTAGGGTGACAATACCAAACACATCATACCAAATTGACTCTGAAAATATTGTTTCGGATCATTGTGTTACTATGCAAAATCGCGGATGGTAATATTTATATATTCACCGATCTCTTCCAATTTAACTTATTCCCGCGGTTATACATTCTTTTAAGAAGCGACATTCTTTTTCAACGTCCGAAGGACGCTCCAAACATTGGAGCTACATTGTGTCTTCCCTCGGCAGAGACGAAAGAATATCATCATCGTGTTTCCCGTTCAACGTTAGAAACCGTCTCGACGACGGGACTTATCAATTTCACCCGGTATCGTATCCGCTGATACGTAATTACCGAACGTCCTATCACGATCCTGCGGACTCGCAGCATCGTTTTGTTCCACGGTGTCCCCCATTGTTCCCGCGACCGACGTGAGAACACGGAACAAAGACTCAGGAAGCAACCTGCCACCCTGGGGGAGCAGCCTCGTAAAATTCGATCGGTCTGAAACCTCCCGGACACGAGATCCCGCTTCGCCACTCGCTCGACTAGTCCTCTATCCGAAATGAAAACGGACTGACAGGAGGCTGGCGACATCTGTACCTGTGATCGAACGAGAGATATCGACGTCACCACCCGGCGACCAGGTTCTAATGACACCGTTCCGTCCAGCCGGTAGATTCTTATCGGTCCCGCTGAAAAGATCACGATTATTATGCCACCCGAATCACGTTTCCTGGCAATGACAGTTACGGGCCACGTGGTACGAAGATCGTCTCCTACGTCCCTGAAGCGGCCGCTCGCCAGCAGGTTTCCAGCTGCTCTCCGCTCCGCCACGTCCGTGAGAGGCGATCCGACACATTCGTGTGTTGTTCTCGGCGGTCGTTTCGCTGCCGGGGTATATCGTAGAAGCACGCTCCGGGATTTTCATGGCCGTCCGCGTGCGTGTTTTTTAACAGGGGCCTATCTTCGTTCCTCCGTGAGTCACATCGCAGCGGCGATCGAGACAGCCGTCGCCTGTCTCATCCTCGACGTCGATCCTCCTCCGCCATATCGTGGCAGCGGCCTCCGCCTCGTCGGGATCGCGAATAATCGCCGCTCCGAATTTCCCTTCTCCGGGGACTGCCTGAAAATCCATACATTGGCACAGGGCAAGGACCGTGGTGAACGAGGAGACGACGAGCGGGGGAATCGTGCGATCGACGAGGATGGTAGTGACACACAGCGGCGCGAGTCAGAGAGAGGATGTTGCCGGTTGGAACGGAAAAGAGAAGGAGATAAGAACGAAGGGCGAACAGTTGTGAGAACAGAGAGAGAGACAGAGGAACAGTTGTGAGAAAGCGAGAGAGACGAAAGGAAAACGTGGGTGGATAAACAGTAAGAGATGAAGATAGAGCGAGACGGAGCGACCACGGTATAGATATACAGAGAGACACAAAGGAAGACAAAGACAGAGAGTCTAGGGAAGAGCAAGAAGGAAGCTGACAAACGAACCATGAGGGTGGGGAATACAACCACGCCGTTTCGGTCGTCGCCACCGGCGCGCCTCTTCGTTCCCCCGATCGATTTTTCACGATTTTTCACTCCGGCGTGCCTCCTCGAGAAGAGTGGTCCGGTACGTGTGGTTAGAACGCGACACGACAAAGTCTCCTTGTCCCCCGGCGTGAAGAAGACGCGATAAGCGGGGAACTGCCGAGGGAAACGCGCGTTACAAGCGAGCCGCACGACGAACCTAAACGAACGCACACACGTTCTTGTCTGTCTCTCTCTCGGTGCGGCTGTGTGTGAAATGTGCTACTATACATCGCGTATCCCCCCTTCGTCCCTCCCCCCACCACTCACTGAGTCCCCTCCTTCTTTCCGCCTTTCTTTCTCTCACGCACATTTCGGAGCGCACGTGTATATATGCCGGCTTGTCAGAGGGATTCTCGTTTGTGTACATATACTTTTGTGTGTATGTGTGTGTATGCCACGCCGGTGAACAAGCTCGCGCGCTCTCTCGTCCAACCTACACACACTCTGTTCATCTAGCTCGATCCCCCTCGTGCACGTATACAAACGGTGCACGGACCCAAGGCGAGAGAGAGAGAGAGAGAGAGAGAGAGAGAGAGAGAGAGAGAAAGAGAGTGCTCGAGCGTGTGACAGCGTGAGTTTCTCTCCCTCTCTGTGCGCTCGACCGTCCGTCTGTCTGTTCTCTTCCCGGCTGGAGGCAAGTTGGAGAAGCGAGCAGCCAGCCAGCAGCGTGCAGAGAGCCGAAGTCACGGTTTTACCGTACGCGCGAGAACATTGTGTGTTGTTTGCGATTGTCGGTCGGTGGTGTGCGTGTGGAATTGTGTGTTTGCGTGGCTGTGTATGTGTGTGTGCGTGCTGGTTGGTCCGTGGGAGCGGGTCGTGTGCGTGCCAGTGTCGGTGTTCCTCGCGGAGGGCCAGTGCGTTGTGTCACTCTCGCAGGATCGCAACGCTCCTATACGCGGCTTCTGTCCCTCCTCCGTTCACGGAACGATCCTGATCGCTAGCCCGTTCGCTGGATGTCCTGTCCATTCGTTCAGTACCGCCGTGTGTTGTCACGGATCATCATCCGCGCGGCGTTCGATTTCGAAATGGCGTTTGATTCGTCGCGCGAACGACGCCTCCGCGGGGCCAAGTGACGCCTAGTGCGAGAAAGTTTTCCAAGTGATTCCGCGCATTGAACACAGACAAGACGGGGATTACTTACGTTGATCGCTTGGTTCGGATCGTGGAGAGCCTGACGAAAAGGCCACCGATTCGCAGGGGTAACGATCAAGCACCCCGTTGCGTGGGCCCCCGGCGGTTATACACGACGTGGGCGGAATCGTGGCTCGAGGTTGAAGGGTCGATATGGCGTAAAGGGTTCCTCGCACTATGTGCCAAAATGACGCTTTGGAAACGGTGCATTCAATTTTACCATGCGAACCTACCCTACGGGGGAATCGAATGTATCCCTGAACCATTGTCGAGTACTTCAGCTTCTTCGTCGGTTGCATCTTCCAAGCCCAGTTTCTCTATTCTTCGCTGCAGTATCCGACTGTCCCTCTATTCAAACTACGTCGACACCGTCAACGGTATATCATCTATTCAGTAACGTCAACGGAAACGTGGTCGGATGAATAATTTCCAATGTAGACGATACACGTCAATGTCATCCGCTCCGATAATAACAATTCTCAGTGTCCGTGAACACGACCGAGGTTCGTTAGACGGTTTTGTTGATAGTTCGCCGAGGACTAACCGAAACATGGCTACGATATCGACGATATATTTCCCTGTTAGCTGAGATTTCATTCGTGTCGATTGAAAATTCGTCGAGCCCTAAGGATTCCCGACCATGGGGGTACAATCGAAGGGGCAACACCCCTCGCCGTCGTATCTGTCCGCCGAAAGAGCGACGTCTCGCGGAACGAATCGATTAGTCTTTCAGTCCGTTGATCGGGTGCGATCCCACGCGACGTCACGGTGTCACCGGTGCGCGCGACCTATGCAAATGCACCGGGTACAACGTAGCGCGAGAGTTCGCATTCGAGGCGAGCTCTCCCGGACTCTCGTTGTCGAGGAATTGGATATTTCTCGTCGCGGGGGATGTTGGAATCGGAAGCATCCTCCCCCCGTTCCTCCATTTCCCCGTTGATCACGGTCCTCGCTTGTTCGATGTCCTCGCGGAACGGAAGCCGCCAGGAAATCGTCGATAAGTCGTTACTCGTCGCCGCGAGAAACGCAACATTTACGCGCAACTCGCTTCTAATGGACACATGCCTCTGTGTGCACGTATACTGGGTGCGTCGTAACGTACGGGAATCGAAAAAGAGCAACGGAAAAAATTTAAATACGCGTGTTTCTTTTGTTCGATCTTGTCTTCGATCGACCGTTTGCTAAAGAGCCTTGGTGTGCCGGCTACGACC